TTTATAAATCGAATAAACTTACATTTTAAATTTAAAAAAAAAACTTGTTCCTAAAGCACAGCATGAAACGCAATAAATCTAATAAGTATAAGTATATTAATTATTGCGTTTGATTTAAAGTTAAAATAAAATAAACAAATATAGCGTATTAAAAAAAACAAAAACAAAATAACCAAATAAATGTACTTATAAATAAAAATGAGATATATTCAAGTTATTTGTTGAACACAAGTTTCTATTATATCTTTTGAAAATATCCAAGAGTATCTCATTATAATAATAAAGTACTGTAAGTAACTTATTAACTTGTCTTCGAGTGCTTGTATGAAAATTTAATTATAAATAATCGCTTTTGTAAAACTAAAAGCCATAAATTCATTTTTTATACTATAAACTGATGTAATTAAATTCAAGAAAATTTATTTCGCGCTTTTATGTGTAATTTGAAATTTGAAATTCTACGTATATTTAAATTGTTTAACGTTGTTGATTTGCCTCAACGCATTTTTTTGGGATAAAAAAATAAACAATGTCAAATTCACATCAAATTTATTATCAAGCAACAGAGGTATTTAAAATAACAATTAAAAACAAATTTACATACAAGGCCATTCCAAAATACCACTAATTATATGTTATGTAATAGATAAAAAAATAACTAAATATCTTTAAGAATATAGAGGGTATTATGTATTTTTCCAGTAATTTGTAATGTATTTCATGACGTGAACACCTAATGAACTTATATACACGTATTTAATATACTCGTATACACTATACACACATTCCATGGGATAAAAAATGATGTCGATGTGAGTTTTATAAGTATAAAATATTTAAACCAAACGAATCCCAATTTCACAGCCTTCCAGGTCAAGCCATTAAGTTTAATTTATTCTCTTAAAAAAAAATTACATATTATGCATACAATGGTTCAGATTGTAAATATTTCAATAAATGTATTTTTATAAAAAAAAAAAAAGATATATATTATTTTATATTTATATATAGATATATATATTTTTATTTTATTATTTATATTATTAAGAAGAAATCTTTAAAATTTACTTGTATTACTAATTTTGGTTTTTTTTTTTTTAATTTTAATTTTAAACGAAACAGTATAATATGACTTAAAAATGTAGAATAAAAATTTAAAACAATCTGTTTCTCCATCGTTTTTATGACCAATTTTTTTTCTTTTTTTTTATCGTAGCATAAAAAATTCCAACTCATTGGAATATAAAAATATGTTTATTAATGATAATAATAATGTATTCATTTTCCAACTTAAGTTTTACAATACAGATAATGATATAATTAAAATAAAAGAAGTTGGTCACTTCTAAGCCACTGGCTGTGCAGAAGTGAGAGTTCATATTATAGTATTAAATTAAAATAATAGTAATATGTTTTACACATGTGAATATAGCTTTAACAATTGATAATCAACAACAATAACAATGCTAAGAATTAAAATTGAAAAATAAGATATAATAACATCGATTTTATAGATTTAAATAAATATAGGTGGGTACAAGATATATGAAGAAAACGAAACAGTAAATAAGAAGGTGTTTTTACAATAATAAGATAAGACAATATAATGTTAAAGTACTTAGATAAACTTGTTCTAATTTATGTGATATTATAAATAATAACTAAAATAAATTGTTTAAAATTATCAGGATAGTAAAAATCACAAGGATTTTTAATAATTATTAACCGTGGCACAAAAGTTCCTAGGATTTTGGCACTTTCGTATGATACAACTTTTTTTTTTCTAATCTCATTTTGGCACTAATGTCTTCCAATGATAAATATTATAACTAGAGCCCGGATTTAAATGCAAAATGCATCTTTTTTTGAATGATCTTAGACAATACTTTCCAAGTACATAATTTGGGTGACATAGCATAGACTTTAAAGGCGAAACTTTTGTTTTGTATTTTTTCAGTTTTTTAGTATTTTTCAATGTTTTCTCATTTTTTTAATTTTTCGGTCATTTTATTAGCTTCAATGTATATTTGGAAAACATATGAGTATATTATATTGCATTTTTATATATCAAAAATTTCAAATGCAAAGAAAATGTTTTAAAAATCACCTTCTATAGTTTTGAAGTTTAAATTTATGGACCCAACTATAACTTTTAACAACTCAACCCATACTGACACTTTAAGCGCTTGTATATATAGAAGTTATAGTATACCTACTTGTGTGAATATTTACAGTTTATTAAAACCACAATCGATGATTTCTAAGAAAAAAATGCCATAGCAATCAAAAAAGCCAAACAATTAAATGGCCGTCAAAGATATTGAATCAAATTAAATATTCATAAAAGCCATCGATGGAAATATACAATGCTGTTTAACTTCTTAAAAATTACCTTCAGTTGAAAAAATTTTCATTATAAATGCTGCTAAAAGTTGTATTTCAAATAATACAAGTAATTATGGAAAATCAATAAAGAAAAAATTGGAAAATTTCTTAAAAAAAAATTGTGATTATACTGCAATGGAAACAATTTCAAAGGTATTAGAAAGTAAATAAACCTTCTAACAATCATATTCGTAGAATTAACACCAGAAGATATTAGCTAGTTCAAATATGCTCCTCAGTCAATACCATCATTGCCAGTTAGAAACAACATTTTCAATTTTCATTTTTTTTTTTTTTAATAAAATAAAAATTATAAGTTAATTCATAACTAATTGATATTCATTAGTCTAAAAAAATAATACAATTTAAAAAACTTGTACATGTCATTTTCACAAAAAAATTCATTTTTGAGGACATTTTTGGTTGTGTTTTAGTGCTTTTTATGTATGATTTTATACTATGTAGGATTTGAACCATAGTTCTCACGTTTGCAAGATAAATTATGGAAGAAAATTTTTTTAATTCCCAAATTGATAGTATTATTTTCAATTTAGATTTATTGTAATTTTTTTGAAATAGTTACAACACGAAATATGTTTTCCGGTTTAATATCAAATAATACAACTCATAAATTCGTTTTAAGATCAATGTTAAATAGTAGTAAACTTAATAAGACCGTGTCATTCGAATAATATTATAATTAGGTAAATTACCATCATGTAATTATATAATATATTATGCCAGTATAATCATTTACATACGCGTATAAAGAAAATTAAAGTTCTCATAATATGTAAATTATTCTTTTAATGACTTATCGCTTTAAAGCAAAAGTTTAAAAAGCGCTTAGACTTAAATAAATTATTTTATCTCGGCATGGTATATGTATATGTTACGGTAAAAGATGAATATTGGTGAATGTCGTCATTCTCCGGTGAATGACGTCTTTTACCAAAATGATTCGATTATGTAGGTAAATGATGTAAAAAACCAGATTTTAAATTCAAATGTACATCTTTCACCGGTCATTGATGTTATTTACCAAAACTAGTGGTAAAAGATGATAAATCTCAAATAATACACTGATTTTTTTACTATAGGTACTATTTATAATAATGATTTATTGTTAAAATAAAAAAATAATAAAATAATAAAATACGTGCATATTACAAATTATTTATTTGTACAATTTTGGTGACTATGAACTTTTGAACTGCACAACATTTCCACTGCATTGCAAGCACATTTTTTAGTACCACAACCAGTTTTGCAGTTGCATCGATTAAATCCTTGATGACCAGCTATTCCATGTCCTGCTGCTTCTTTTAATGTTATTTCCCTGTCTTTAATTTTTTTCATGGCTTCATCTAGCTCTAGAAATTTTTCTTTACATGGAGAAATTTGTGCTCGTGTATATTTGTGTTTCAACACCCCATATTCTGTCATTTCTGTCATTTCTGTCACAAATTTTTACAAATAATATTATAAAACACACATTCGTAGCAAATACGACTCGCTATAATATACCCGTCGATACTAACTAATAAACTAAAAGATTATCTCACATTATTACTCGGGTTATCGACATTATTGCTAGTTGGGATTTTCGTTTATAAAAGTATTAAACATCATTCTCCAATTAAACTGGTGATTGATGACAATAACCGGAGAATGTCTGCATTTACAACGTTTACCAATTTTTAGGTAAATTATGTCATTTACCGGGGAATGACGTCTTTTACCACGTTTACATCATTCACCGTAACATATATATATAAATTACTTAAAACGTTCAAGAATAGTATACCATTTTATTTATTGTTTCAATCAATGTTCAATTATTATTGACGAATAAAAAAATTGTTCGTGATTAATAGGGCATTGAACAAAAAACAACAAATATAATACATTAGAAACTATTATAATTTAATAGGCGTAACTACGTAAATATATTGGTCTCAGGATATCATGAAAAAGTGCCATGTGCTTGGAATTTCTCGTGTTTTCGACCTTTAAGATCTTCAAATAATATTACCAACGATATTATTAACGAAAACTATAGTATTATACCATAGTACAAGATTCAGTAAGCTTACGAGTGTGTGACCACTATAATATTATGTTGTACGTCAAAAGTTAAAATATTAAATCTTATCGTTATTCGATGTATTTTTTTTTTCGAAATAACTTTATTAACATATTCATATAACTATCCAGAATACGTACTGGCATAGGCTAATTAATCTTAAAAATTATAACTCAATAAACAAAATATTTTATCCAAACAGGCAATAGAAAAATACTTTTAAAAGGAAATTTAGAATAGATATTATAGTATATGGTTTAATTGAGTATATTCTTTACGCTTTAAAGCAATAGTTAAATGGGAACAAAATGATTCTAAAAACGTTACATTTATTTACGTATAGTGGAGTGTAAAATTAATAAATTATGTCACAAAACGGCCTATAAAGGGTAAACATAAAGATTATTTCGGCCTGCATTGAAATCGTTCAGTGATTGCAATTTATTCTTTTCGTTATGCTAGGAAAAAAGGTAAACATTTTGCAAACATTAAACAAACAAGAAAATGCGAATATCGAAGAAATTCTGTTTTATAATACTGTTAACGGAAAAATAGTACAACTTATTTGGGTTATGGTGACTTTCTTTTTGTCCTCCAGGACTTGTCCAATACCGTCCTGGAGTCTGCAGTTTTCGACGGGCTTTCCTCGATGGTAGCCGATCGTACACCCGATCCAGTGTTCGAATCTTTCGTGATCTTTTCGTCGTTCTGAATTCGAAGAAATTCCTAGAAAACGTATTCGAGAAAACCAATTGAAAACTGATTGAAAACTAACCACTATTGCGCGTATACGTATCGATCTCCTCGACGGAAGTAAAGAAGTAAGAGTTAGTATTTCGTCGCATTCGTACGGTCCGTGAACAACAGTTCGAGTCGTTCGTGTGCTCTTCGAAGAGGTAGAGAAATACCGAAAACCCGTTGAACAACAGTCCGCGTGTCGGTTACATCGAATCATATCACGTGATTTATCATCCGGAAGACGGTAAACGTATCGCGAGCCCACTCGGAAATAAGGAGGAGGGGGGGGGGACGTTCATACTACTGGTCGATTCGTTCTCGGTCGGGGAGGAAACGCGCGACGGAAAATCGACCCCGTCGTCGGACCGTCCACGCGAGTACCTGAAAGTGCGCGTGCACCGCGTCGTCGAGCTCCGAACACTCGGCCACGGTCCGGTCCAGGTGCGCGCGGGCACGGACGAAGCCGTCGTGCGCCGCGACCGCCTCCGCGTCCGCGCGCCACGTGCTCAGTACCGCGAGCCTCTCCGCGTCCGGCACGGTCACGTTCGCGTCCCGGTCGTACCGCTCGTTACCCGCGGCCGCGCGACGTTCCCCTGACGGCAAACATAAACCGTGTTAAACCGAAACCGACCGCGATCGGAAAACGCATACTTCGCAACCGGTCCACGGCATCACGGCTACGCGTCAGCTCGTCCTGCGCGTCCAACGCGCGCCCCAACGCGGCCTCCAACGACCTGAAATCACCACGCGCGCCACGATGACAAAACCGTGTCGCGGTCGAGTTGTACGCACGAAAATAATTTTAAAAAACATTAAAACGGATCGCCTAAATCAGGTGCCCGACTTTTTACGACCTCGCCCGAAGTCCAGATCAACCGATCGCTAGCCCGTGCAAAAAAAACCAATTATCGAACCGTGTGCATTCACGCTGTCGGACTGTTACGACTTCGTTGGTTTTATGGGATTTTTAGAGTCGTATCGAGCGCGTGGTGTACACGTTTCAGTACATTACATTAATTGCTGTACCTATGCAACGCCACAGAAATTCGGTAAAGGATGTTTTACAACATATTCCATGCGTCGCGATCGACGACGATGGCGACCACGTGATTGTACGGAAAAATTTCAAAATTTCTAAATATCTCGCAGGTTTCTCGTTCCCATATTATAAATCGTAGTGTTGTTCAGGTAACATTTACTTTAGGTGACTCGAAACCGATATTTAGTCGTTTTTCACACGAACGACTAATTTCGATTTTGGAGGAGAAGGAGTGTCATGTGAATTTCGGAATTAGTCCTTGCGAAATCATACAAAACACGTGCTAAATATTTGCATAATATTTTTTTTAAATTTATTACAGGAGAGGGAGGGAGCTAGCAACAAATCCGTTAATATTTTTTCAATTGCTAGTTAGCAATAACTCGTATATTGAAACGATAATTATTTCGAAAACAGAATTAATACTGGGGCCTGAAATCTATTCGAAATCGATCGGACCAAATTGTTTAACTGGAATAAACTTTTGTATTGAGCGCAGTACACGAATGCCAAAAATGCCAAACATTATTTAATTCAATTTAGTTTAAAAGTTGAAGATATACGAGTAGATCTAAAAAAAAATTGGCCGTATGGATCTCAAGTATTTTTCGTGCTGATATTAATACTGTCATGACAATCGTTATCAATACATCAATCGTATACAAAAAGAACAAAAATTGGCTAGTTTTTACCAATGTGTTTTGCACGCGTGAAACACGAATACAGCACGGTTTCGGATCCTTTTTAGTGAAAAACAAAAAACAAAGAACAAGCTCGGAAAAACGTCCGAAGTATACGCGTCGTTGCGCTGATATGACCCGATGAGCTCGATTTTATTACGGTCGGCCGGAACAACACGCGTGTCGCCTACGTACTACGGATGAAAATACGACACATTACGTTGTCCGATGCATGCGTGATAGGCGTGTGTAGTGTACGAATATTATCATTTTATCAACACGTGCGTTCCGGACGTGATCGGAGTGAAATATCCAGATATGCCCGCGCAAGTGGTGAAACAACGAATCGTTCTCGTAGTCGTAAAAGTTGAACGATAATAATTATCATATCGTGGGCGTTCCGCCGGGATCCGACCCCGAAAGTTGAAAAACTTTCGACGAGAGGTAAGTTTACGAAGACTGTGAACCGCAGGCGAGTTCGCCTAGAATATTCCGCGACCCGGCTTACGGGCGGCGACGATGTATATTATTACAGGTACACGCGCGGCTTTGCGCAAGTGCGTTTCGTCGAAAATCCTTCTCTCTGCCCGCCTTCAGCGACCGACCTGTGATTGTCTAGGATCGCGGCTGAAATCCTTTCTCGTTTCTGGACGACCTCCGGATTAGCCGCTAAGAACGCGTTCCAATAATTTTTCCGTTCGTCCGTCGGCGCATCGTCGTCGCACCACTGTACCGCCAGCAGCATTTTGTTAACTATTCGTTTTGTGTTTTCCACCTGAAAATCGTTTGCGATACGTGCACGAAAACAACATCGTTAAACGCATATGTCATGTTACTCAAGTGGCGCCTATCAAATAAATGACGACGAAATGGTTGAGTGATACAAATTCGACTTGAGTGAACAACGCATGAATTATGTTCTAGTTATGATTATATTTTTATTTATACTCGTGTAATTCATCGATCTTTTTCAAATTATTATCATTCAATACGTAAAAAATCATCGATTCAAACTTTCGAAGAAGATCTAACTTGGGGGTCTAACGACCCCCCCACAGGTAATATCCACTCAAATTAATTACCTATATTCACTGCGGGCAGTGCTGGTTACATCATATCATGTCACGTAATAATAAATCGCCGCCGGCTTCACCGGTCGCCGTTGTAAATAAAACAGATAAGAACACACCGATAACACCAATTAAAATAGTAAATCACAACACCGTTCTAAAAACAGCCAATGCAAGCTTATCCCAATACGATAACGCAAATGACGGAAATAATTACGACACCGACTGGATAACAGTCGAATCCAAATCACCAAATGTATACAAAAAACAAAAAACCTCTACTAGCTTATCTCCCAAACAAAATCAATCAGCCGCAACCCATCTCAAACCACTAAATAATTATACCGTGCTAAAACCTCTTGATGACGATAAGAATAGTATGGAAACTGATCAACCAAATATTAATTTATCCGAAACCGAAAACCATGTTCCACCTCCCATATTTATTAAATCAAGTTTAAATTATAATGGTTTTTGTAACGCGATAAAAACCGCAATTGGTTCTAATGATTTTAACTGCAAAAGTAATCTAAATGAATTAAAACTTCAAACATTCACTCCTGACGGGTACAGAAATGTAATACACTTATTAAAAGAAAAAAACGTTAATTTTCATACTTATCAACTTCAACAAGAAAAACCATTCCGTGTGGTTATCCGTAATTTGCACCACACTACTGATATAAATTACATAAAAGATGAACTTAAAGTGCATGGTTATACAGCAGTCCAAGTAGTCAATGTTCTTCAATGGCAAACAAAAAAGCCACTTCCTCTTTTCTTTGTCGATCTGTAACCTGACCAACACAACTCCGAAATTTTCAAGTTATCTGCTATCTGTTTTACAAAAATTAGAGTGGAAGAACCTCGTCCCCGTCAACATCTAATACAATGCCAACGTTGCCAAAATTTCGGTCACACGAAAACATATTGCAATCACCAACCACGCTGTGTTAAATGCAGTGATTCTCATTTGACTGAAAATTGTCAAAAACCAATTGATCATCCATCCAAATGTGTTCTCTGTGAAGGCCAGCATCCTGCCAGTTACCGTGGCTGTCCATTTTACCAAGACATTCAATCCAAACGCAAATCCTTTCTTACAACAAAAGCGAAGACTAGTCAAAATAATACAAATTTAAAAAATAATGTACAAGAACCCACTGGTAATACTTCTAATTATGAAAACCCAAATAAACCAAATAATACACGCAAAACTTATTCCAAAGTCACTCAAAATCTACATACTAATAATCAACCTCAACAAAACAATAATGATTTAAATTTAACGAATCAACTAAGCTCATTTATAAGTGAGCTTAAATCTATTATAAACCCACTAATCACACTTCTTACTACAGTAATAAACAAAGTTCTCCTAAAAAATGATTAACATTCATAAAACCGCTTCTAAACTAACAATACTTCTGTGGAACGCAAATGGTGTATCCCAACACAAAAATGAATTGCAAAATTTACTCTATGAAAAAAAAATTCATATAGCCCTCATTACCGAAACTCATTTCACACAAAAAACAAACTTTAACATTCCCGGTTACTCCTTATACAAAACTGACCATCCTGACGGTTCTGCCCATGCAGGCACCGCAATACTTATTTCTTCTGATATACAACACCACGAACTACTAGGCTTTCAAGAACCTCATATACAAGCAACAATTATTTCCATACAAATTAAAAATGTACCAATAAAAATTGCCTCTGTCTACTGCCCACCCCGTTATAAAATTGACTTCGAGGACTTCAATAGGTTTTTTCAACTACTAGGCCATTCATTCTTAGCGGGTGGTGACTTCAACTCCAAACACACTCTTTGGGGAAGCAGAGCGTCCAACCAAAGGGGTTCTACTCTCCACAGATCCTTAATCAAAAACCACCTATCATTTATTTCCCCACCGAACCCTACATACTGGCCAACTCATGTGAATAGATTGCCCGAAACTCTTGATTTCTTTATTTCCAAAATACCCAATCATATAAATACCTACATCGAAAATATCTGTGATCTATCAAGTGACCACTCTCCCATACTTTTATCTATAACTGGTGACGTGTTATTAAACTCAAGACCTTCTATAACTAATGGACCTATTGACTGGGACAAATTCAAATTAAATTTGGACCAAAATATTAATCTAAAAGTAGCACTGAAATCCCATTCTGACGTAGACAATGCTGCAAAAGATATCGTTCAAAAAATCCAACAAGCAGCCATCAAAGCCACATCACCTATTAACCCTCACATCATAAATTCTTCCAAAAGCCTACCTGCCGACATAAAACAGCTAATAATAAATAAACGTCATGCTCGAGCAAAATGGCAAAATTCAAGATTGCCTAGTCATAAAAAAAATTTTAATTTTTTAACAAATCTTTTAAAATATGAACTTCATATGCATAAATCTGAACAGTTTCAATTATATATTAAATCTATGCAACCAAATAACGGCTCTCTTTGGAAAGCAACCAAAAGGCTCACCAGGCATAGAGAAAAAATCCCACCTCTCCGACAAGAAAACGGTCTACTAGCAATTACCGATAAAGACAAAGCAAACATTTTTGCTTCTCAATTAGCCGAAACATTTCAACCCCATT